TCCAGTCCAACCTGTCACACCAGTGCCACAACCGAGGAAATGGAGATGGGCAATGAAGTGGAGATGAGTGTACATTAAAATTCATGTGAATCCATGCCATGGATAGATGCCAAAAATACACTGGTACTGCAAAATCTGCTGCTTGAGGGCAGTGGCATCTTCTGAGCGCCTAGTGCAGTGATGGTGAACCTTTTTGAGCCCAAGTTCCCAAACTGCAACACAAAATCAACTTATTTATTTCAAAGTGCCAATACTGCAATTAAAACCCAAATGCTGAGGTTTTAGTTTAGAAAAAAACACACCAATTGATCCTGCATGGCAAGGGTTAAATACTTCTCTCCCCCCCCCCCATGGGCGGTATTAACAAATAAATACTTACTGGTCCTCCAATCCCCCATTGGGCTAGACAGGTAATGGTCACCATTGCACTCCTCTGCTGGACCACTGCGCCAGCAGACGGGAGTGCCAAATCCAGAATCAGAGGATAGGTAAGTATTTCTCTATGGTGACTTACGACTTGTGTTCCCACAGAGAGGGCTCTGTGTGCCAGCTGTGGCACGCGTGCCATACATTCGCAATCGCTGCTCTATACAGTCAGCAAAAACAAGACCTGGAGCTGATTGTGGCTCTGATCATCAGCTTCTCATAGCAAAATTGAAGCTTAAACTGAAGAGAGTAGGAAAAACTAATGGGCTAGTCAGATATAATTTAAACCAAATCCCTTATGAATACACAGTGCAAGTGAAGAACAGATTTAAGAAACTAGATCTGGTGGACAGAGTGCTTGAAGAACAATGGCTGGAGGCTTGTAATATCATATAGGAGGCAGCAACAAAAACCATCCCAAAGAAAAGGAAATGGAAGAAAGCAAAATGGCTGTCCAACGAGGCCTTACAAATAGCAGAGAAGAGAAGGGAAACAAAATGGAAGGGAGATAGGGAAAGTTACAGAAAATTGAATGCTGACTTCCAAAGAATAGCAAGGAGAGACAAGAGGGCCTTCTTAAATGAACAGTTATTTAAATGATTCAAGACTAGGTTTAAAGATCTGGAGTTTTGTACTGCTTAGTCTTGCTTACCTGTAGAACCCAGCTTATCATGTCTTTCTGTGATGCCAACTGCTGAATTCCTTTCAATTTTTCCAAAATCATTAATATATTCATTGCATTCAAAGCAGAGCTTCCCATTCCTTTATGAACACATACAGGAATTGAAAAGAAAAGAAACAGACACACAATTTATAAGACAGCAGCATTTTTTTTCTTGTACTCATTGCTATAATTTTAAGTAAGGACAGAAATCTTATGCCCTCCAGATTCTCTGGACCACAACTCCAACACTCTCCTACGGATGGCAATGCTGGCTCGGGTTTCTGAGACCTTCTCTGCCTCCAAAATATCATTAAGGTTGGAAGTTTCCCACCAGCACAACTTTAGGTATTAGATATGAGCATGCTTTAACATCACGAAGGTGATACCTTCTATCACTGCTAACCCTCCAATGGAATGTTGATGCTGCAGATTGATGGCTACAAGCTACAAAACTGACTCTGGCTCTATGTCTCATGATTTCTCATGAGATATAACACAATTAGAGATGGGGGTATTTGTATACGAATACCCCTGCATAGGCGGAGTTAACGAGGGTCCGATCCGATGCGGATGGCATGATTCTACCAATGGCTGTGCAGCGCACGATCTGCTCACCACTCTTTGACCTTGCAGTGAGCTTGTCCTCCTGCCAGGAGTAGCAAGTGGATCATACACTGCAGAGCCACTCGTAGAAATTGCATTGTCCACGTCCGCGGCAGATCAGTGAGTGGACCATTCAGTCCCATGGGGCTGTACCCTCATTAACGCCACCTGTGCAGAAATATTTGTATTCATATACGAATATTCCCATCTCCAAACACAATCCAAATACATGGTTATGAAACCAGCTCTATTACAGGACGCAGTGACAACAGCAAGCAACTTGGTCATATATATAAAAGGGGTAGAAAAGAATGATTTCATTGTCTGGAGAGGCCATTTTGTAGTTGAAGTTATTTTTAAACAGATCTGATGACCAAAATAAACAGTTTAATGTAGACTAAATTGAATGCTAATACATTCCCTGCTCTAACCCCCGAAAAGCATCAAAGGGAGGAACTTCTGCTCTTTCTTCTTAACTCAGTCCTTATTCAGTGTGAAACCCTTGAAAACCAAAATCTAATGCACCTTCCAAAGCAAATGTTTCTCATTGTAGGTTGGAAGAGGTTGGGAAACCATGTCCAGAAATCAACAGTGAAAGTTTGAAATAAATGGAATCAGCCAAGTAGATTAATTATTTGGAGCAAGGGGCAGATAGGTTTGTTTAACTTTTATTCTAATTTAAACTGTGCAGAGTTTAGAGTCGAGAAAATAGAAAAATAATGGATGGTAGTTTTCTGCTTTTTCATGTCAAGGCATCACTCTAGTGAGCTAATTTAAGTTAAATGTCAACTTAACATGAACCTATCTCCTAAAAATCTGGCCTCTCCAATTGTAACTTGCCTTACAATAATCTTCCAATGCATCTCCTGCTAGATCCTGCAGGTTAGCTCTGAACAGTGTAATAATAAGCCCACAGCATTATCAGATACCCATTACCAGTTGAGTGTGCTGAAACTCAGTACTGTATATAACCATGTAGTGTTCTCTAGTTCTTCTGTCTCCATTGCAAACTTTGTACATAAACAGTACTATAAAATAATGCTTCCATTCATACAAATGCAACAAGCAAGAAGGCTGCAACATAAGAACATAACTTGTAACATTCCTGCAATAAAGTCTACTGTTAATATGTGAAGCCAAGGGTGAGGCTGGCAAGGTTTGCATTCCTAGGCAAATTCTCATACAGCTCAGGTTGCAGCAAAGGTCTGGCTATTTATATTGCCTCCTCAGATCTCCACTCAGGCCAAAAGAAAGCATGCCAACATATTCTAAATCCCCATATTTCAATGACCTGCATGCAATTTTACATATTTAATATGTGTAATATTTAATTATAAACAAACATACCTAAATATTAGAGATGAACACAAACCACCAGTTTGGTGTTTCCTAGCCGCATCTCCTCCAGTGGGCGCTCACTCAGAAGCAGTGGCCCAGCTTCCCTGCCCCGTCTCTTCCAGGCACTACCTCTGAGTGGGTGCCCACCAGAGTAGGCAGGGCTGGGAAGCGCCAAACACCCTTTTTGTCCAAAGGATGAACCAGTACAAACTGCTGAATCAGCGATTTGTGTCCATCTCTAATAAATACACATTTATTACTGTTATTAACTTTTCTTTATGGATATCATGGATTGCCAGAAAAGAAAAGAAAATGGGTTGCAGATTAAATCAAACCTGAATTCTCTCCAGAAGCCAAACAACTAAACCAAAGCTATTACACTTTTGATATATGACAAAATTCAATAAAAAATGCTAGAAAAAGTGGAAGGCAATAGGAAAAGAGGAAGAGATGGAGTGACTCAATACAAGAAGCCATGGCTTCCTGAGGAGGGCTGTTAACACTAGGATGTGTTGAACGTAATTTATTCACTGGGTTGCCATGCAACTTCACAGCAAACAACAATACAGTACACACACACACACACACACACACACACACACACATGAACACACATTTTGCAAATGGTCTAAGATTCAGCTTAAGAGCAGGGACTCTTGTCTTTGATGCTAAGTTTTTTTTCAATCACACTGGTTTAGGTAATACACATACAGTACAGCAGGAATACACTGCAACATTTTGTTGTGGGCTACTGTTTACTTTCATTTGTCTTCCATTTAAAAATTACTCCCGTTATAACAGTGTTACATTTTGTCCCTGTATAGATATAACTTTAACATTTTCCTTTGGAAGGACATTGAATATGAAATTTCTTTTGACAACATACTTGATGCTTTGTGGTAGAAGTCAAATGTTACTTCTTCTTCTGGAACCTTCTCTAACTGCTGTTTCTCTTCCAATAATCCTAAAGCAAGGAGGTGAAGAACCTATAGAGAAGCAAACAATTACCAGACATTGCCTCATATGTGCTTATGACTTAGACTGCTATAGTGAAGGACTCTCTGATTAGCAGGATAAGCACATCTTTCCATGTTGGCTATGGCAAGCATTTAAGAATGGGAAGAATATCATTCATGACATAGTAGTAGTGATTTAAACCAGATTGATATAAAATGCTATTTTAAAAGCCTTGGTTTAATCATGTGTTCCTCCTCTCTCTTGCAAAGTACATTCTTGCTTGTTTTAACCTTAACAAATTTTTCTCACAACCTCCTTGCCCAGACTGACTCCACACCCAACAATTATCTATTCACTGATGATTGCAGAGTTTGAAGGTGTGAAATTTCAGAGAGAGGGAGAAAGTAAAGGCTTGACTTTGTCTACACAATGTCGGAGAGGGACATTAGCTAGGGTAGCTTCTATAAAGGAATCAGCACCACTCAAAAAAAATATTGTCCGGATGTCCACAACATGTGAATGCACCACTGTTTATGACCACAGAAGTATTATTAAGCTATGTAGTATTAATACAGTCTGATGTGTTCTTAATAACTTTGACTTGAGCAGTAACACATATTTGCTGTTCTAACACATAAAAGCACATAGACACTTGGAAGCTAAATGCTAGGATGGGTACATATTATCTTATATTTTAACTAGAAATGAACCTAAAATGGGATAAACCTTCAAGTACTGAAAACAATCACTGCAACTCCTGCTTTCTCCCCCCTCGTTGACAAACTTACCATCTGGATCATAGCTTCTGTCCACAAGTGACTCTCCAACACTAGTGCTCTTTGCAAAACTGTTCTAAGAATATGCATCATGATATCACAGTTCAGAACTTTCACCACATTTTTAAAAGCAGCACTGAATTCAGGAGGTGGAGGAGGTGGTAATGCTGAAAGCAACACATACATATCAGCATCTTAGTAATTTCTTGACCATTTTATGATTCAACAAAGATAGAGAAAACAAATATTCACATTCAGTTGTCCTCCTCTGATGCAGCTTGACACACAACAGAGATGACATTGCCATCAGTGGTGAGTGGATTAAAACAAATTGCCACTGATCAAAGTTGATTTTAGGGTGCATGCAACTTATACATCACACACCAAAGTCATTGGTGCCCCCCAAATCCCCCAAGGAAGCTTTTAAATAGCAGTAATTGGCTGCCGCTGTCATCACCACTGCATGTGTGGAGCTATGCAAACAGATTTTCAGCCATCAAGTTATATACAGGTGGTGTGAAGTGGGTCTTAATTTAGTGCAATATCATTACAGGAAATAAAGTTCAATTGCATACACTTTTCCTTGCAAAGTGTTCTAAAAATCTAACAGAACTCAGAACTAACTGGAGCAGACATGTGAACATATGACGCTGCCTTTGACTGAGTCATATCTCTGATTCTTCTAGCCCAGTATTACTCATTCTTACTGGTGATACCTCACCAAGGTCTCACCTGACCTGTTATTTGGAGACATTTTCACAGGTGATGCCTGGGACTTTTTATGTGCATAGTTGGTACTCTGTCATTGGTTCGTCATAACACATTGGCTCAGGAGAAAGTGTTATATCTGTATTATACTGGATAAACCAACTACAGAATAACAGTATCTTCTGAAATTTATTAGTATAATTGAACAGATGGAACATTGTATTTTAGTGTTTAAAATGTTGTAATATAAGTAATCCTAGTCTTAGATAAATTTACTAGCATTTACAGTGGTGCCCCGCATAGCGACGATAATCCGTGCAGCAAAAATCGTCGCTATACAGATTCGTCACTATGCGGGGAAAAAAGCCCATAGGAATGCATTAAAACCCGTTTAATGCATTCCTATGGGCAAAAAACTCAACTTAAAGCAAAAATCCTCCATACGGCGGCCATTTTCGCTGCCCAGTAAGCGAGGAATGGGCACGAAAACACAGCGGGCGGCCATTTTTTTACCCAGTGGCCATTTTGGAACCGCTGATCAGCTGTTCTAAAAACATCGCTATGCAAAAATCGGTAAGCGAAATAGCTTAACGATCATCACAAAGCGATTTTTTACCATTTAAAACATTGTTATGCGATTGCAAAAACGATCGCAAAAAATCATCGTTATGCGGATTCATCGTTAAACGAAACACTCGTTAAGCGGGGCACCACTGTACAGTACTTTATACGCCATTACCTGTCACCGTCTCAAAAAAAACCCCAAACAATTATGCTGAGATAATTTCTATAGGAAATATAATTTTTGCAGAGTAAAACGTTTGCCTGGGGAAAAAAGACAAGGAGCAGACTGTGATATAGACCCTTAGCACTTAATATCAAATATTACAGTGAAGCTAAGAAGATGACAAAAATGTTCACAGTGTCAAAATGTAGTTTCAATAATGATTTTGAAGAATTTAAAAATCATGAAAAGAGCAGATTTACATTGGCAAACACAACTGAATATAAAGCAGAAGTAATATGGATTTACACCAGATACAAGGAAGAATGCGAAACCCGTACTCATGTAATCAGAAGAAAAGCCTTGATGGGTGACTGAGGAATTTTGACAGATTAATGAAAGAGAAGAAGCGATAGTAATAGGTGACAGAAACACTGTCAGAATTCTAAATGCAACTTTTCAGTTGCTGGCAGATAGGAGCAAAAAGAACTATTGTAATAATCTTTGCAAAGAAATAGAAGAGAAGAACAAAACGGGAAAACAGATCTTTTCCATATGATCTAAGAAATCAAAGGAAAATTAAAATTTAAAGGATGCTGAAAGATCAATAAAGGAATACACTATCTAATCAGGATAAAATAAATAATATATTGGAACAACATATTGAAATATTACACAGCATGTTGCCTCAAAAAAGGAATATTTTGATGAAATACCTGCAATCATGTAAAGTGAAGCGAAGCTACTCTCAAAGTAATGGGAAGAAACAAGGCATCAGTATATGGGATTTCAGCTATTTCAAGCATATATGCGAACATATATGGAAAGCAGAATAATGACCTACAGATTGGAAATGTTTCATATACAGTGGTGCCTCGCTTAACGGGCGCCCCGTTTAACAACGAATCCGCATAGCGATGAAGATTTTGCGGTCGCAAAAGCGATCACATTGCGATGTTTTAAATGGGAAAAAATCGCTTTGTGATGATTGGTTCGCTGTTTCGCTCACCGATTATTGCATAGCGATGATTTTCCAACAGCTGATCGGCGGTTCCAAAATGGCCACCAGGTAAAAAAAATGGCCACCCGCTGTGTTTTCACATGGATTCCTCACTTACTGGGCAGTGAAAATGGCCACCGTATGGAGGATTTTCGCTTAAAGGTGAGTTTTAAGCCCATAGGAACGCATTAAACGGGTTTTGATACATTTCTATGGGCTTTTTATTTTCACATAGCGACGGCATCGCTTTGCAGCGATTTTTGCTGCACGGATTATCATCGCTATGCGGGGCACCACTGTATACATATTCCACTGCCAAAGAAAGGAGACATTGAAGATTGCTATAACTTTGGAACCACTGCATTAATTTCCCACATAAGCAAAGTGATGGTGAAGATAAGGATTTTTACTATACTGTATTTGAAACGATAAATGATGAAGATAAAAGAATATGTACAACAGTAGTACTACAGCTGAACATTAAGACAGAAATAACATATGAATTACAGAACTTTAATGGCAATGAAGAAATCAAAATTCCTGACAGATATTTAGCAATTAAAGTTATTAAAGATTTTCTGTATATTATACATCAAACACCACAGATTCACTGAGGGTCAACTTATTTTCCATGGGCTCTTACATCTCAATTTACTTCCCTGCCTCTGTTTCACACAGAGCTTTTAAATGGGAAACAGGGAATTCAACCAGTTACAGGTTGTCTCTCTCTCTCTGACGGTTTATGGAGCAATATAAGAATCTACATATTCCTCATATAATTTTACACTGAGGAAGAGAGTAATAGGAACATATAACTGCCTATTCAAAATACTGCAACATAAGGAATTACCCATAAAAGCAGTAATAGATGTTGACTATGAACATTCTCTGAACTTTCTCAAAGTTTTAGTTACTATGACCTCACGCTTTAGACTCCAGTTTGTATTTATCACTCTCACAACCACACCCATATTGTGTCAGACATACTTCTCTCACTCTAGCCGCATCTAACCTCCTTCATGACCTTATTAAAAACCAACAATCTAATCCACCTTCACAGCCTTCCGAGGACTGTGACTGGCTGAGGCAGTAAGAAGATGGACACTAAAGCTGCCCATCACAGTTCAGTTCAGTTGTAAATTCAAAGGGAGACTGCAGCCCAGAAATCAAAAGACTGAGATTCAGAAGGACAAGTATGAAGAAACTAGAGAAGACCCTCAAATATAAGATTATATTGCTCGAGATAAAAGCCAAAGTAATCAATAGTATGGTATTTCATGAAAAGATGGGAAAGCCAGAAATGAAGAGAGCTGACAAGAAAAAAAATAACCTAACTCATTCAAAGTGTGGCGTTGGAGAAGAGCTATATGGATGTCATGGAGTGTCAGAAAGAAATGAATTCCAGCCTGAATTATCTCTACAAGTTAAACTGAGGCTGTTTCATTGAGAAAACAGGACATACTAGAAAAGACAGCAACATTAGGAAATGCTGAAGACAATAGGAGAGGAAAAGGAGCAAACATGAGATGACCTGACTCATTAAAGGAAGCTATGGCCTTGAATTGACAAGACCTGAGCAGGATTATTCACGACAGGACCTTTCAGAGGTCATTAACTTGAAAGGTAAGCATTAATCAGAAGCTACTTGATGACACATAAAAAACCTAAGAGGATCAAGTAATGACTTGGAACAGATTCATACACTGAAACTTAAACAAGATGAACTTAAATATACTGGATCCATGTTTGCGACAATCTTCACATTTTATGGGATATGAAGAAAGGGTGTGGGAAGAATCCTAAGCCACTCCCTCTTTACAGATAAATAGATAAAGAAGTGAAAAATAAATTGAGTTAGATTAGGAGCTGAGTTAGATTAGAGCACAGTGCTAATATGCCAGCACCTATAGAAGCAATTAGGTCAAAATAAAGATGTGTCTTAATCATGGCACAAATGACAAGTTTTACACAGGATTTAATTACTGGTTGCATCAACAAAAGAGCATTTAGGCTTGACATCAAACATAATAAGCAAACAAAATGGATTTTATTGTTCACCCTAATCTTTTACCTTCATCTCTATTTTCTTGCACTCTTCTCTTCTTTTCCATGTGTTCAGCCTGTAAGAAGAGTAAACTAATTTACTCTCAGAATATCAACAATAAGAGGAAGGTTTCAACATCAAGTTGGTTTGACAAAAGAACTCTGCAACTAGCAATTGTATCCAAGTAAGTGATAAGTGGCTCTTGCTATTCAACTAGATCACTTATGCTCACCTAGGAAAAATATTGCTTAATTAATTTTTAATGCACATTTCCTGAGAGGTACAAACATTACTTCATTTCACACTAATTTTAATCCATGTTGTCCTTAGACATAAACCCTGATATGCATCTAACGTGTTTGTTTAGGATGACCTTCTCCAGTCTGACAACTTCTGGGTGCAATTAGTCTCAAATTCCATGATCTGCTGACAACTCGGTCAATGGCCTTTCTGGGTGGCAATGAAAGAGCTTTCAGTAAAAGTTATCTAAAAGGAATCAGGTGGGGGAAACTGGTTCAGAATTTATTAGAAATAAATAATATTCTGGCTAAATTCCAGCTTAGTCTTTTACTCCACATGTTTGCTTACCTTGCTGTGCTGAGTCTTGGTATAATGGTAGAAGAATACATTATACTCTTTGAGGCACTCTTCCTTCAGTTCATAAACACCGTGGCCTGATACCCCTGGTTTTCTTTATTAAAAAAAAAGTTATTGTCAAATCACATGGGACTGATTGCTTATAATAAAATAATCCAGTAAGCCACTTATGTTCATTTATTTATATTTATTTATTTGTTCAATTTATACTTATTCAATTTGTATCCCAATCCCATTAGTGTCACAGCACTACTCTGGGCGGGTTACAACACATATAATAGAAAAACAGTAAGTAAAACATAAATAATAGTTCTGGTATATGTAAGAATGTAACACTCCTTCTGGGTTAGAGCATCAATTAAAAACAAAACACAGAATTAGACCTAAATATCTCTTAGAATCATGCCTTTTGTATGGTTAGGAATGGGAGACTGGATAATACAGTACATTTATAATGATATATTAGTTGCAATGACTGGAATTCTGAAAAAAGGAAAGGCAGGAATATTTTATATTAACAATAGTTCATCAGTGGATTTGAGAAGTGTTTAGGAAGTCTCAAAACTTCCTAAAGTCAGTGGGTTTTGCATTCAGAAATAGTCTTTATGGGGGGGGAGCCCAAGAGAAGCATAAAAAGAAAATAAGGAAACACAATCAAAAAGCTAGAAACCAACGGTAGCTCAGTTGAAAGGCAAACAGTGACATAACAAGATAAATGAAGGAGAGAAAGATGGTGTGATAGTAACCCAGATTCATAAAATAGCCAGCTTATTTAAGAATTATTATAAAGATTTACATAAGTCTAAAAATGTCTCAGACTAAATCAGCTAAAATCCCAATTATATTTCAATCCAGTGGGAACTTACAAAATTGGAATCGTAAGCATTATTGAACCAAGCCTTTAAAATATAGTATAAGATCCTGATTGATCACAAATTAACACATTTCAAGGTTATGATTAAATATCAAGCAATTACACTGCAACATTTTTGCTATCTATTTCGATCTTGTCCACTACTAAGAAAATATTGGATTTTTTTCTTGGGGGGAAAGTGGATACAGTACATGGTGGCTTTTGTTTTGCCAATTGATTGATTAATAGTATTACGTTGCTACAAAATATGATTAGTGGAATCAGAAGAGATTAAATATATAGTTATTAACAGTGGCACAAATGTTTTATTTCTAATAAGTGGGAAACATTTTTCTCTCCAACAAAAAGAGAACAGATATACAAGACCTGAAACATAGCATACAGATAAAGTTGACTACATTCATCAGGCTTGAGAAAGACAGTAAGAAGAGTGCTTTATTGGAAAGTGCCATTTATTCATATATTGATGGAAGGACAAAGCCCAAAAAGAAATTAACCTACGTAAGTCTGAGCACAATGTGATGGGTATTGAAATGTCAGAAGGAAAAACAAAGGGAAGGCGGAAAGCAGAGTGGTAGGTGAAGGAGGCTTGGAAAGAGGAAATTTGACTGCTGCTACCTCTCTGGAAATAGCTGTTTTCCACACTCCATCTCTGTACTCTTATTTTTCCATATTTTTCCATACACAATTAGTTTAAAAAGAACAAAAACTTACTTAAAAACAGCTACTTTGTGGATGACCCTCTCCAAACCAGTCTCATTGTTTTCCTGTTAAATACATTCAAAATGTTAATGTACTAAAACAAAACATGCCACAAAATAGCAAGTTAAAAGTATATCAGATTGTTTAATTATAGGACAGAAGCATTGCTTCTTTCTCTAAAAGTTTCTTCTTGTTTACGTGGCAAGGATAATAAGAATGTGCTCAGGGAGGCAGTGGAAGACAGGAGGGCCGGGCATGCTCTGGTCCATGGGGTCACGAAGCGTTGGACATGACTAAACAACAACAACAAATATTCTCCTATTTGCTCAGAAAGCAGAGATCACATTACAATTTTTTGGTACTTTTGTCTCCCAGTGTAAGCCTCCTTTAGTTCTATACCACGGATAAATTTATTATAGACAGCCCAACAGTCCTCTGGAACAAATAGGCCAGGGAAACAGAAGGGGAGTGACTGGTGTCCATGCTGTATGCCACAGAGTTCTCCATAAAAAAATTTATAGGAAAAACAGCCACTGAAAACTGTCAAGGAAAAAAAATGGTGTTCAAGTAAAAAAAATAAAAATAAAAATAAAACCAAAGATAAGACTAATACAGAGAAAATACTTATATAGCAAAATTGGAACAAGTAGTAGTTCCTTCACTGGAGAGAGGAATTTTAATGTCTGCCTCCTGAGAAAAGCACAGAAAAGTCAGAAGGAGTTTATTCTGGAAAATGAAAAATATTTTTTAAAGAACAGTTGCATCACCATTTTACAGAACAACCACATCTGTGTCCTGAGCCAACTAGAGAGTAAAAGCATATCATTAATATACTTTTCACCAGAAAGGAACAAATGTGTATTTCAGTATGTAGATAAGCAAGTAATCATTGATTACTATATTTTTACAGATGCAGCAATGTTTCCAGAATCAGTATATTGCAAGGTTATGAAAAATGGTGAGACATTTTCATATTTGCATATTGACTGGAGCAAATAGGCTGGTACATAAAAGCAAAAAAATAGTATAATGAAATTTTATATTCAATTGATTAAGACTTCGTGTTGTGAAATTTGATCTAAAATAATATGGTCTCCGCACACCTCAGCCACAGCTGTGCTGAGAACCACTGTAAGGTTACAACATGATGTATAGGTGGAGCCAGATTCAGCACACAGTTAGCACAGAACAGTCACTTGATCAGGGCTTGCAAGTTCAAAATGTTTATTAACAGGGAGAAATAAGAAAGAAATCACTCACATCCTTGGGTAAAGATTTAGCAATAGCACTGTGAGCCATTGGCTCTATACAGAGAAGGTGGATAATTTCTCGCATAGTAACATCATCCTTTGTCACATAACTAACACCTGGTATATATCTTTCTCCTGAAAAGAAGAAAAGACAGTTGACAACAAACTCTCTACATTCAAGAAATCATACTACAATATTGATAGCTTAACTAGACCAACAATTCTCTCAAAAATAACATAGAAAGATGAAAGAGATGGTTGCAGATGGTTTAGGACTTTTGTCGTCATGAACACACAAGGAAACTAAGAGTGCCAATTTTGCTCACTTTATAATTAATTATACTATAATGCTAATGCCTATGCCCTGTCTTACACATTGGTCGATTTCTGAAAGATTCTCTTTCCTCCTACTTCTTATGGTCCCATGATGGATTCTGCTTCCATTATAATGAACTTCCATTAACTTCAGGAGGAAGGGAGGGGGGAGAGAGAGAGATGCCTGTCATTCCTATTGGAGAAAATAACAATCCTGCCTGTAATCTAACACTGGGTTTCAGTGGGAAGAGCCTTCACAGTCTAACACCCTACCACTAACCCATTAGCAAAGTCTTTCTTCCCGAGTTTGGGGCAAGCCCTTGCCCGTTCTTCCTGTTTGTTTGCTTCCATTCCTTTGTTTACTCTTCTTCTTTCTCTTTGGCTTTAGACCAGAGCAGACTTGTGAATTCCCTGCTTCTGACCTCTGGTCATATTGCCAGGATGAAGTCACATTTTTTCCTTCCCTCTATATTTCTTACTGTAACTGATTATCACAACTGTAAGTAAAGATACCTTTTCTACTTCAAACACTTTTAGAGTGATTTTTTAATATACAAACAGCTAGTTACTGTGAGAACAAGGGAGGCTGGGTGGAAGTTAGGGCATTTAGCTATTCTACTTCATTTGCTGCAGCTGGTTTCTGTACTTTGTTCTCCCCTGTGCTGCAGCAGGTTTCTGTATTGCTTGAATTAAACAAAAATTCCTCTAATACTTCCATCAAGAAACTAGAAAATAGGGGATCATTGTTTCAGTTGGCCTTTTGAAACACAAGCCTCATAGTTTGTACCTGGAATGAGCAGGTCAAGAAAATGCCCATTAACTGGGAGGCCATGCCATCTGTGTCTTATCTCTGTGAAAGAAGAATCTTCAAGACCAGAGTTCAGTCCTTGGTACTGAGCTAATTAGTAGAGAATGGTTTCAGCTGAAGAGAAGAGGGGGGAGAGAAGTTACTCTTGAGAAGCTACTCTTTTCTATTGAGAAGGTTCGGGATGATTTGATGCCTGATTGGGGCATCTCCTCAAAGAGTCTATAGAGGGGAATGACGGGTATAAAAGTGAGAGGGAAGTTACTTAGTTTTGATCTAAGGATACCACTATGCTCCTTCTGCTGCCTGACCTATATGTGTATGCTGATGTTCTGTCATTATGTAAGCATTAGATTTAAAACAGCTAGCTTGCTTATTTTCTTATGAGAACTGTTCTGGAAGTGCTCTTGCCTCAATCCTTTTGATTCATGGCTTTTTGACTGTTTTTATAACTTTTTAAACTGTTTGGAAATGTTTCTCTTTTTGACATTTTTGTTCATCACCTTTAGTAAAATGTAATCTTTTATAGCAGCTTGGTTATTTTGGGAATAAGAGGGTGCTGGTACTAAACACAGACCTTGCCTCAATCACCTACTGGGCACCTGTGTATTTTTGTGAGTATTCCACTGCCTGGAACACTGAACTGTCAGAGTAACTGAACATGTTGGGGAAGGCACCAGGCAGGAAGATTTTCCCCAGCCATCAGCACATCTGGTACCACTGGAACTTACCCCAGGGAAGCCTGTGCAGTATGGCTCAGTGGCTACTGTGAGAGCCTTCCTGACTCACCACAATCTTGACAACTTCCAATATTTCTTTATTTTGTTAAGCTATATTTGGAAGCCAAAGCACAGAACAAACATTAAAATAATTATCTAAAAGTATTGGTGCTTCACACCCTATCTTACCGTTTTTAAAAAATAAAATGACATCCAAGAAATAGAAACAATATTATTATACTACATGCAATATAGCAGATGCAACTTCTGCCTTTCATTGAAAAATGGCACATTTAGTTCCCCATGCACAGCAATCGTCTATGCCACTGCTGGTCTCAAACATCTTGAGAAGTCGTCATTCATTCAAAAGTATTACAGCAAAGTACCACAATGCTCCCCTGTACCATCAACAGCTAGTGGGAAAATGATGATTTTTTAAATAATAATGCCATGATTGGGTCAGCCAATGAGACACTTGATAGGTCCTTCTATGGAGATACATATTTACATGCTCCAAACAGTTGACAGTAGTGCCACAAACAGATATATTGGAGAGATAGCTTTCCAGTTGTTGCAGTAAAAGAAAATATGGAGCTGCACAGTAATTTGGACAGCTGCAATGTGTGGCTCATAATCAATCTAAACACATTTGGAATATGTAGGCAAACTAAGCCACAGTGGTTTCCAATATCATGTTTTCCAGCATTTACGTTAAAGTATGGTAACAGCTTTGCACAAATAGCAAAACCTTCACCCCTCCAAATTGCAGGTGTAAATAAATATAATGAGGGAAATTCCTATAAAATGTGCTTTCAGTAGCAAGACTGATTACAAACAGCTGCAAGAAAGAAAGAAACTAATTTGGGAGATGTTTTGTAAAGCTGGAAACATGGTACAGAAAAAAGAGCACTGATTTTTTCCTAAAATTACTTTTTTCCTCACCTACAATGTAGATAAGAACTTGAAGCATCTCTTCTATTAAAGTGCTGCACTGCTTATTCAAATCCTGTGAAGAACAAACAAATCAAGTTCTTGATGTAGTTTTGTTAAAATATATGTGAAAAATGGTAGACTGAGGTTAACTGAGCCCCTTCAAAGTACATGAAGCCAATCAAAAGTTAGTGTTTGTGAATAAAACAAGTCTGCAAACCAGCATCTATGGAAACATCTGGGAAAAAGTCTTGGCCATTTCATGTTAGTGTTTGCGAGTGGCAAAACACAAGCTATTTATGACTCAGAAACTGATCTAAAAACTGCCAGATACTTAAAGCATAATACTGTAATGTATTCTGTACATTTTCAGCAAAATATTGACTGAATTTGTTGCTTAGCGTAGATTTTGCACTAGAGTAGGCCCAATGGATCAATGGGCATTTGGTAAGTCACCTCTTCCATATTTTCCATTGATTCAACTGGGCCTACTCTAGTGTAACTTACTATGCACTAAGCAACAAGATTTCCGCCATTATAATTGATCTGAAATAGATATATTCATGAAGTTCGTACACATCTCAGTTTTCAACCATGGATATTGTGAACAGCCCGAACCTAGGCTTGTCAATTTTTAAAAGTAGTTTTCCATTAAAAGGTTTGACATCAACCATTAACCATACTAGACCCAGTGGTTAAAGAATGAAAAATGATATTCTCTTTATTACAAAGTAACATCAACTTGGGAACAGGTCTAAGCTTCAGTTCTTCTTCAGTTACAAACCAACAGCCCAACAATACACTCCCCTCTCTTCAGTTACACTTCCCCTTTCTTCCAGCCTTCCAGTCCCCTCCTACTTCAGGTTCCAGGATAGGCTGGCCACATGCCAGTCACCTTGCTTCCCTATTAACAGGCAGATTGGACAGACTTCCCATCATAGGTATGAACAGGACAGGTTGGTTTACCTGGTCTTTGGTTGGCACAATTTTTTTGAAGGCATCGATCAGCTCATACCGTTGGAGTACCAGCAAGAGGAAACAGTTTGGATCCATATATGCTGCACCAATCTACCAGATACATGCATTAAACAGCATTAAAGAATATAAGTGATATACAAAGCACAGTTATTATATGACAAAAGAAATTCAGAACATGCTCACCTGAAGGAGGATTATATCCTTATCATACATTTCTTCTCTGCATTTAACATCCTGATAATAAAACATCTGGGAGGCAAAAAAAATCCAAATTAAAAGTATTATTATTTCTTTTTTGTCTTGGCAAATATTTAGTATCTGAGTCTTTGCAATGCATACACGTATTAAAAAGGTTCATTTCGAAATACATCAAACTAATTCTTAGATTTCACATGCACCATTGCTTACAACCATGCACACTATTTGCCATCTATTGCACACACTGCCCTTAGAACTGTATGTGTTAACAAAGTATTTTCCCATGCTCATATCTAATACCTATACAGAGAACTATGCAATAGAAAGTACTTCATTCAGTTATAAAATTATTCATACATTTCTAATTATTAAAAGGTAGCTAAGAATGCTAGTTTGCATCTCCTTCTTTGATTGGCATTTTTACTTCAACTCTGTACCACTATTATCAGAAAACAAGAAACAAACCACAACATTTAGTCATTCAAAGCATTTTCAACCTGGTCTTCAGCCAAAAACAGTTTTCGGAGCAGTGCGCAAAGATCGATAATGAGACAGTCCCTGCCCTCAAGCTTAGATAATTTAAATAATTAAAATATAATAATTTAATACATAATGTGATATGTAAAGAATCTGAAAAGGGAGAAGGCAAGAAAGGAAACTCAGATATTATTTCTGCACAGCTCCAACCATGACAACAAATGTCTCCATGGTAGTGTGGAACATACTTGGCTGATCAGAGATAACCCATTCCTTCTCCACATTTCTGCAGCAACCTGAGCAGCCAATGCTAGGCAACGCAAGGGATATTCAACTAATGTCTGCACCTGGAATTCTTCCTAGAAGGGAAAAAGAAAAAAATAACATTTAACTTAGGACAAATGAAACTCTGCATAATGAAATTACTATAGATGATCACAGAAATTACTTTCTGCCATAAGAAAAGAGAAGTACAACAATAGGCTGGAGACAATTTCTATTTATCTTACACTGTACCACCATCTTTATTATCACACTAACTAGTTTCATAATCAGTGTTTGACCATGGTCAGCAAATCAACCATATGATACACATCCTTCCTATCTGAGGAAAAGGAAGATATGACATTGAATAGCAATAGGAAGCATATATTGAATACAACGCAGGGATCAGTAGCTGACAATGTTCCCTCTAATGTTCAGCCCTGCTGGATGAGGCTCTGCCCCTCTTACAAATGACTCCACTCCCCCATACGGGGTTCACTCTTGACTGAAATGAAAGGGGTTGGAAACATACTGTGTGTGGAGGAGGAGGAAAGCTTTATGGAGGGGGTGAAGCTGCACACACTCATGCAACCGCACACCTTAGAGGGAATCTTGGTACCTCAAGGAGTTATATAATTTGCACACACTCATGCAACCGCACACCTTAGTACCTCAAGGAGTTATATAATCAAGTCACTTGCAACTCACTTTCCATGACTATCTGGAAGTAAACTTTGGTCATAACTAAACAAACATTACTAAAATAACATTTTCTTTAAAAAAACACACCATTTTATAGACTACTCAAACATTTTGCCCGAATGGTACCCAACATCCTCCTACAGGTACCAATTCTTGGTTTGATGTATCCTGCCCTCATGCTGATGTTCTGAACTGTATGGCAGAATGAACACTGCATCCTAAGGCAACTCAGGTGTCTCCTATGATCAATGCTTAAAAGAAATCTCTCTTAATAGAGTGTTGGTCTATGCCATTCTGGAGGAATGTCTTGATAGTTTTTTTATAGGGTTCTTGGAAAGAATACCGAACTAAGCAAACCATGGTAGAATGAAGCAAGGCGCTCACACTCTTAAGCAAAATAACACATATAGAACATTTAATAAAAATTACAGTTCTGTCTTGGAGAGATCCTGAGTTACGTACTTCTTACTTTGTGAATTTGAAACTTATATGATAAACCAGAACATTATAAAGGGAAACACAGAACATACAGGATTAAAATCAGCCCATTTTTCCCTTTCCCTTTAGAGCAGCACTCTAACTCAGTATTAGGAGTTAAATCCACAACAGTTGGAGGTTAAAAAAAAGTATATACTGGGATTAAAAGATACTGAACAACTAAAATTAAATATCAGTTGCTCTGATCTTGAGAATAAGGGCTGAAGAATTTCAGTGTAAAAGAAGAAGATTTCTTTTCTATTTTTCTATCTTCAGAGAACTTCAGAGACAATTCTCTCTCCCTCAAAAAAAAAAAAAAGTGGAAAGAAGCACATAAAAACCTAGGCAACTTCCCTGCATGTCCCTTCCCAGTTGTAAATGCTATCTGCACATGGCTAACAGCCATTTGAAACCAAGGTCTGTAACTAAAGGCACAAGTCCTGTTTAAAAATAATTGTGTGCCATCATATCAATTCTGACTTATAGCAACCCTTTTCAGGGCTTTCTAGGTAGTGAATACTCAGAAGTGGTTTACTATTCCCTTCTTCTTGGGGCATCTTGGGACTGCAACTTGCCTAAGTCCGTGCAGGATGTGAGGCATGGTGGAAAAATCAAACTCACAGGAGGCATGGTGGAAAAATCAAATTCCCAACTGCTGGTTCCGCTACAGATGCCTAACTCACTAAGCTATCCAGCCAGCAGACATCCTGTTTATGTCACTCCAAATATCTAGTGCCCAATTTGAATCTGGGCTTATAAGGGCTCTGGCTTCAGCCTTTTGTTTTCAATTTTAAACAAACAAACAAATAGTATTACTCAATAAACTTTTGCAAGAAGCTGGAATATTTATGTAGAGGCTCCTAGAAATTCAGTGTCTATCCACAGAAAATCCACTATGCACAAGTCTAAAATTCAAGGTAAACTTCCAGATTCCTTATGCTTTTAATATTTTTGTCCACAGGGTTTACACAGATGAAGCACCCTTGTAGTCAGTAAATGAAGATGATCAGGCAAATTCATATCATGTGTGGGAGTGATCCATCTAAACATACAGGTTGGTCAGAATCAATCCACAATCAGCATGATCAGTCATCTGGCAACAAACAGCCAAACATTTAAAAATAAAAAAAATTGATGTCCTCTAAACTTAAGAGAAAACAAACACAATCTTTTTGACTAATAGCTTGTTATGTACAGCAATGAACAATTGTTCACAATAGTATCTGCACCTGAAAACAAATGATCTGTTTAAAATTAGGCTCATATTGCTATTCCTCTTTTCCTTTCCTTTATGAAAGATGGCATACCTCTTCTCATTCTATCCTCACCTACAACCCTGAAAGGTAGGTCAGTCCATTCAAGGAGAAAGGCAACATAAAAATATTTTAAATAAATAGTTTAGGGTTAGGGATAGTGACTGTCTTAAGGTAGGGTAGAACTATGGCTGGGAAGAGATCTGTACCATATTGATACTCCTACTGTCTGAACCTCAGAATACTACCGCTTCCCTGAAAATAAGGCCTATACGAAAAATAAGTGAAACCCTGCCCTCCACCACTGTGCACCAACCAGAAGAAAATTACATGACTGTATCTGAATAAATGTAGATTTGTTGTACATAAAAATAATATAAAACAACCCCTGAAAATAAGCCCTAATGCGCTTTTTGGAGCAAAAATTATCTTATCTTACCCTATCTTATTTTCGGGGGGAAACGGTATTTGCAGCCAATAGAGATACTTACAGATGTGAGAAATTCCTGAAATCTGGAGATGAGTCCAGTTCTGCTCAATTGTATATGCAGACCTAAGAAATGCAAATTTAGATTATCCAAAAGTAATATTTCAAGAAGCCACTTGCATAATCTCCACTTATTTCAACATTACCTATTTGCAATCCTAACTTTTAGATTACTATACTCTGAACTGTGCTGATTTAAATCAAAGACAACAAGGAGTACTATGTCACCTGAAAGATTTGACAAGTACTATTGGCACAACCTTTTGTGGACTGTAGCCTGCTTCTTAAGATACAAACTGGATTATGTATCCATCTACATATATAAATTCACATATCCTATTTGTGTATTTAAATACAGTGGTGCCTTGCTTAGTGACATTAATCCGTTCCAGGAAAAACATCGCTAAGGGATTTCATCGCTAAGGGAAATAAAAAAGCCCATAGAAATGCATTAAAATGTGTTTAATGTTTTCATATGGGCTTGAAAACTGACCTTATGCGAAGATCCTCCATTGCAGTGGCCATTTTGGGTGCCTCTAAAGCGAGGCAACACAGTGGGCGGCCATTCTGTTTACCCGGCGGCCATTTTGGAACCGCCGATCAGCTGGCCGAAAACGGGGGCTTTGCGATGATCCCTTCCGCGTGATTATTGCAAAGTGAAATTCCCCCATAGGAAACATCAGAAAGCGACCGCTTTTGCGATCGCAAAACCAGCATCACAAAGCAATTTCGTCGCTCAATGGAGCAATCGATAAGCGAGGCACCACTGTAGATTACATTTCCATTTAGTTATAATTAATGTGAGAGGCAAGTCTTTTTCAATCAATAATGAAGAATTTGAAGCATTTGGAATTTTTAAGGGAAACTGAAGGTGTAGAAGAATGACAAAAGGTTATTAGGTTATAAGGTTATTAACCACAAAATACTTGGTTAATCTGGAAAATTCAGCGCCACAAGGTGTGATTGCTGCTCACTAGAATAGCTTTCAAATGTGATTAAACAAATTCATGGAAGATAGATCTGATTGCACATAAAACCATGTAAATAGATCATTTGGGTTCAGAAATCTTGATAGTCAGAAATGGAGAACAATTTAAAAGGAAAACAGATTTTTCAGAAATTGCAAGCAAATAAACACTCACCAGCTAGCATTCTGGACAATGGCAGGTGTATGCTAACAGGATCTGCAGACACCTTAAAGCGCTTACTTTTCAAAGTATGGCCACACATATTAATCACTCTCTTATCCCATGAATAGTTACTTGCACTACATCTCATTACTGCTGTATAGCATTCCTTGTAAGCTGTTACCAACAGTTCTTCCTAGAACAGACAACATTTTTGTAACTGTTGTTAATTTATTAATTGCGCCAGTGTATTTTCATTGCAATTTATCTGAGAAAATTTCCATTTTTAATATGGTTAATTAATTTTTACTGGATGTAAAATAGTTGATATTTAACTGTTACAGCAAGATAAATATTAATTGCTAAGAGATGTACATAGAAGCTATCCTATATGTATTGTTCTATTAAACCTTAATAAGAAACCTTGACATTTCTACTGTTAGGTGCAAATTTTGCAAGTCACATCTTCAAGAATTCTGGTCAAACAAATATTTAGCACATATGAACATCTCTAACAATTTGCTTTCCAGATACGCTAGTTTTCAAAATTAGATCGGCTATTTCAAATCCTGATGATTTACCATTGCAGAATCTGTCAAGAAGTAATTTTTCTGCCTTCTTTAGCAGACTTTAACATCATTAAGAAGAATGATGATATGCAGCAGACACTTATATGTTACAAATATTTGTAAGCAACTGATTCAGTTTAACAACAAAGATTCAGATCACCAGCTAAACCCAACTTTTAAAATGATCAGCATTATTTACTTTTCCATTAGAAAACCCTGTTGCATAGTTAAGTCAGTAGAAGGGGAAAGGTGCAACTTCCAGCAGTAAATTGTCACTATTTAATAAGTCTCTGTTTGGACTACTGGTCACAATCAAGCTACTCAACTGACATACTGTACAATGAGGAACCCAAGCAGGGAATAGTTAATTCAGTGGTCAGGAAACAGGGGTAAATTACCCCAAATGGGGTAAAAATGAAAATCCTGGGGGTAATGAGGATGGTTGCAGCAGTATGACCCTCCTCATTACCCCCAGGCATTTTATTTCCAACAATACTGTGTGTAGTCAGGCATTCCGTCACGGGAGAGCGAACGCTGGCAAGGAGGCTCCCTTCCCGCCCCGCCTCACTTGAGCTCATGGCCGGTGGACCTGCTGGCCCTGCGGTGCCCGCCTCCCTTCACTAAGGATGTGCTTTCCCGGCAGCGTGGCAGCCGCAGGTCCCAGGCCAGCGCAGAGGCGGGGAGGGGGGTCGGCCTTGGACGGCGAAAGCGGAGGGGCGGTGCTGGGAGGGAGCGGGGTAATGTTCGCGTACAGTGGACCCTTGACTTACAGACGACTTGACTTACAGACTTTTTGAGTTACAGACTTCTCTGGCCGCAAAATTTAGGTTTGACTTGCAGACTGAGATTCCGGGCAGTGGCGTTCAACTAGCCACGCGTGACTGAGATCCTTCCTTTCAAATCAAGAGGGTAATGTCAGCGTATATAATTATTTTAGGGGGTAAAAGATAAAAAAGTTCCCTGACCCCTGAGTTAATTAGTAGCAATTTGCCTCTGCGAGTGATGCCGTTTCCCTTCTGCTAACATAATTCTGCAACAAGAATTTAGTCAATATAGTATTCCATATTAACAGCTTCACAATAAAGCTGGGTTCTGATCACATGTGGTTTCAGAAGAATAAACAACTCAATCTGACCATAACAGTATTCAGTTACATTAACTCTCAGGAATTGACAGAGATAGTATCTGAGGATCTTGCTCAAAAGGTATCTCCATTATTTTTGATCACTTCAAAACTGAATTTTCCTCTGCTAAATAATTCTCAATTTTATTAGAATAGCTTACATCAGAGGCACACCAGTCCTGGAACATCAAGAGGATATTCTTCAACTGCATTTGGATGCCAATGGCTGCTTCCCAGTCAGGATCCACCTCAATATGCTGACCAATTTGTCTCGTTATTTCTTCCATCCCCTAAAACAATAAGACCCACACAGCTGAACTGAGGCTTATCCAAAGAGATGTTAAAAGTCATAAAGTGAAGAGGGACACATGTAGCCTCCACGACCATTTTTCCAGCCCCATCTCACACCCCCAAGTTTTTTTTAAAAAGTACACTGCCCAAAAAAGTTCCCTGGAACCATCTAGGGGGCATGGGGGCAATTTCGTCAGGTTTTGAGGGGCCCTAATATCCAGAAACCCTCCCCCCTCCACAAATCTTTATTTTAAACATTTTGGCCACAAAAAGGCACCAAGGGGCTTTTTCGGCTAAAGACAAACTTTTTTAGTTACAAAAACATGATCAACCTTTTCAAAAAATAACTACTGTATTACATAATTTTAAAGTATTACATTATGCAAATTAGCCTCCTTGGCCACATCTTCCCATTTAGCTCCATCGCCTTAGGTTTATGACTCTTGAGTTGCCAGCAAATCTGAAAAATGCCTGAGATTGCCCACCCCTTCCACAAACGAAACCAAATGCCCATGGAAACAAGCTTTAATTACATCTAGGCAACATAGTGTTAACAGATATGAACTGTGCATTTTAAATGCAACTCGGATCATATTATTGGATTGTATACGTGAGAAATCCAAAGCTTTAGTGAACAGCACCAAATTTTGACCACCAGAGAAAAATATTTGCTTCAAAATAGTTTATGAAAAAATGTAAAGCTTATATTGTTACAAAATACTAATATATAGGAATACACGTAGCACTGAAGACACGGGGATAATTTGACATCCCCTCAGTTATCGTAGGAATGCAACATAAGTTTCTTTTTAAAACTAAATAAAATTAAGAGATAACATACCTGCATGCAAGTAAGAATCTTCAAAAAAGACCGAAAGCCTTCCAAAAACTGTTTTCGTAGTTTGTCTGTCCACACAGTAGGCTTACTGATTAAAATATATCTGTTGTTTTATAAAAAAGGCATTTTACAATTTAAAACTTTTCTTTCAAAAATATAGTTGTATAAGAGGTAGCCATGTTAATCTATACAAGCATTACAGTAAAAAAAAGAAAAAGAAAATTAAACAAGAAATAAAAAAGAAAAAAAGTGGCACCTTAAAGACTTATATTTTAGTGTGAGTTTTTGTGGATAAAATTCACTTCCTCAGATGCAAGAGAGATAAAATGGCAAACATTTATACATGGCAACAAAATACAAAGATTGTGGTAGTTTGTTAAAAAAAAGTACAGGGCATTTGACAGTGAGGCGATAATTTGTTTGATATTCAGATCTATTGTGTTGAAACTTGTGCTGTAAAGGCTGTAAGAGCCCTGTCATAGAATAACCATGGTAGAAACAATATGAATGATAATTATACTAAGAAGACTGGCTTTTTAAAGTTGTTAATGATCTATAAGATCCCTGATTTTTTTTACAGCAGGTTTTGTAAGCAACCACAATGGTGAGTTAATCACTTCAGGCAACAGATGACCACAAGAACAACATCTTAATGAGTTAAGACTCTATGGTTACCTTTGAAGTTTTTTAAGGTAGATCTGCTAATGAAGAAAATATATCTGGGAGATACAGTACAGTACAACTATTGTACTGTTTATACTTGGCAATGCACTATGAAGCCTTGACTTATATAAAGTCCATTCACACAGCTGTCCAGCATGTGTATATATTTTATTTCAGCTGTCTCTAGATTCTTATCTTGCAATCTGATCCTGATGAAGGTACGCACTATGTTATACCTGGAGTAACTGGATTCATTATGGATATTATACCAAAATGTTACTGTTTATACAATTGGCAATTGTTATATTTTGTTTTACATATGTATGTACTGTAAATGTTTAGTAGTGGGATTTATTTTTGTTATTCCTTTGTTTTAAAAATAAATAATAATTAAAAATAATATTGTAGCATATCCACAATATTAGTCAAATGAAAGAGGTATTTTATTTAAGTATTAACTCATGCAGGTAATTTT